CATTATCACACCAAACTAAAGTAAAATATTACATTATTACACCAAACTAAAGTAAAATATTACATTATCACACCAAACTAAAGTAAAATATTACATTATCACACCAAACTAAAGTAAAATATTACATTATTACACCAAACTAAAGTAAAATATTACATTATTACACCAAATTAAAGTAAATATTCCATTATCACACCAAACTAAAGTAAAATATTACATTATCACGCCAAACTAAAGTAAAATGTACGTAAGATTGAAATCTTATATGTTTTTAATTATAACTCCTCTTTCAGAAGAACTGTTGAAAAGAACAAAACCAAAAACAAAGTTTTACAAGAAATAAACAAAGTTGTACCAGAAATAACCAAAGTTGTACCAGAATAAATAAAGTTGTACCAGAAATAAACAAATATTTTCTCGCTTAGTTTTAATTCGGCAATAAAATTCCTAATTCGGACTTAAACTAAATCTCTGTATGTTATGCAGAAACATTACTTAAGGCGACTGTTGACGCAATGTCAAGTGAATGTATTCAATTAACGCTTGTACCCTTTAACCTTCTTCTGAACATGCAAATTTTTATTTGGCCCAAAATTTGTCATTTTTATTTGTGGTTTTTTTTAAATGTTTGTATGCGGATTTATGTAGAAAAATATCAGCCAAAGATCCAATATTTCTTATTCAAATGGAGTACCCGTCCCTTTCAGAATATCTTAATGAATTCCTAGCTTAGAAATACATTTCAGGTTCTTAGAGTGATCCCGGATCCTTTAGTTAACTACGCCCCATTACTCTCTCTTTAATAGAGATGGGCGCGTTCGATTTTTTTTTCAATTCGCGTTTATCGTTCATAAACGACCTGTTTCGATCGGTTTTTTTATTGTTTCAAAAAAATTTATTTCGTTCCTTCTCAAAATTATTGTTCATTTTCCATCTATTTTGTTCGTTTTCTCACTGAACAATCGTTCAGTCAAATCGTTCGTTCAGTAAAATCGTTCGTTCAGTAAAATCGTTCTTTCAGTAAAATTGTTCATTCACTAATCGTTCTTTTGGTTAAAAAAAATCTTTTTTTCAAAAATCATTCGTTCTGTAAAATAACTCGTTTTTTCAAAATCTTTCGGAGAATTTGTTCAATCAGTCAAAAGAATGATCTTTTTTTCAAGTTCTCTCGATATTTTAAATCATTCTTTTTTCGTTCTTTCTCAAAAATGGCATTTTTTCACAAAAACGATGTACATCACTACAGTCTTATACACAATCTTTAGGAGGAAGAAATATCTGGAGATCTGTTAAACCCGGAGCTTTGCACAACAACTTTAAACCCTCTACCATATATTGTACACTACTGTACCAGTGTACAATATCAATATCGGGAGAACTGTTAAACAGAAGCTTTGCACAACAACTTTAAACCCTCTACCATATATTGTACACTACTGTACCAGTGTACAATATCAATATCGGGAGAACTGTTAAACCAGAAGCTTTGCACAACAACTTTAAACCAGGAGCTTTGTACAATACCAATGGTTTTAACACTATTATATTTATAAAGTAGTATTTGTTTGTATGTCCGATCATAACCCAGGAACCCCTTAACTGATTTGCCTCAAATTTTGATTGGAAAACTTGGGAGACCCACAGGAATGTTCTTATCTTGAGATTTTGAGATTCTATAGGGTAATAAAGCTAAAATCGTAATTTAAGACCAAGCGAGGGTAAACGGTGGGAGTAACTATTAGTAACCTAGGCATGTAATAAATATGGGGTATAGATCACGAGATTGTATCCGTGTGGTTCTCTGTTTTGATAAACAGGTTGAGGATCGTTCCATTTGATTTGGGATTGATCGTTACAGGACTGTAGCCGTGTGTTGACATTGATAGTCTGAATCTGAGTTGTTCCTGGATAGATACATGTTCGAGAGCAGTTTATGGAATAGGGTATTTACTAAAGGTATTGCTAGGTTCCCAAGCTAGTTTAGTCATAAAATTGTGCAAACTTTTTTATTCTCTTTCTTGAATATTTTTTAACTGTTTTTTAAACAGACAAACAGTTTTAGAATACATTGGTTTTGATCTCATGAGAAGGTTAAAGTAAACTGTATACAAAGTGTTGATCACATTAAAGTAAATTGCTATGTTTTCAATCATAACTCCTCTTATTGTAGAGTTATTGAGAATTTTCTTTTTTGATACTCTAATGTGTAAACAGATAAATTTGCTTTTCATCAAAACTAGAGCACCTACAAGGTTACAAAGCTGTTGCTAAATTTATGTTAGCTTGTGGTTTGATGTTGGCTCATCTTTTAATTGTTTCAGGACTGATGATGATAATATTTTTATCGAATTATATTTCTGGTTCTGGTTGAGATTGCTTTATACCTGTTTTAACTTTGTGATATAAGAATATATATCAAATAAACCTACTAAAGTGTGACAAGATACAAGATCTATATATATTCCCCCCTTTTATACATATTCATTCACTACATACAGTACAGACTATAAATATACAATGAATATGGTGGTGTGACCTTGATACATAGACACCCATATTATAGATGGAGTTTCTATCATATCATGTTATTATGTAGGTTTTTTTAGCAAAAAGTTTTGTTTTACTATTTTCTGAAATTTTTGAATCTTTATAAACAATTTAAGATTTAATCGACTCCATAACAAAAAAACCTTTGTTTTCTGTCAATATGGACATCCTGATCTACTATCTAGTTCTCCTGTTTATTAGAATATCCTGATATACTATCTAGTTCTCCTGTTTATTAGAATACCCTGATCTACTATCTAGTTCTCCTGTTTATTAGAATACCCTGATCTACTATCTAGTTCTCCTGTTTGTTAGGTAGGATACCCTGATATACTATCTAGTTCTCCTGTTTATTAGGTAGAATACCCTGATATAATATCTAGTTCTCTTGTTTATTAGGTAGGATACCCTGATATAATATCTAGTTCTCCTGTTTATTAGGTAGGATACCCTGATATAATATCTAGTTCTCCTGTTTATTAGGTAGGATACCCTGATATAATATCTAGTTCTCCTGTTTGTTAGGTAGGATACCCTGATATAATTTCTAGTTCTCCCGTTTGTTAGGTAGGATACCCTGATATAATATCTAGTTCTCCTGTTTATTAGGTAGGATACCCTGATATAATATCTAGTTCTCCTGTTTGTTAGGTACGATACCCTGATAAAGTGTCCAGTATCTAGGTCCCCTGATAAAGTGTCCAGTATCTAGGTTCACTGTAATGTAGAATAACCTCGGGAACCAATATCTTCGGTCGAACTAACCGTTCCTTTAACAATTTACGAGGCCGGGGGGATC